CAGAATAAAATGCAATACCACTGTAGAAAAAAAAAGAGTAACTCTAGCTCTTTGTTTTCTTCATTTCACTATATTAAAATGCTCAGATCTAAAGAGTGTCTCTAAATCTATTTCATAGTTGATTATGAAAGAAATAATTGAATTAGTTGAACTTTAACATTTATTTTGGCTCTAATTTTTTTAAGATTTATTTTATACAAGAATTGGGGTACAGGCCAGAGATTTGGGGGATGAGAGGATTCACCAGAAAGAAAGTGGGGAACAGAACAGGCAGACGGACCGAAGTACACTGCTGAGGGGAGCAGCAGGTGAGACAGGAGAGGTCTGTCCTGCCATGTGGGTTTTGCCCTGGCCAGCTGGGAATTGAACTCATACTGCAGTGGTTGTGGATTACTTCATAGGTTGCATCTTAACCCCTGCACGACCAGGGAGGCCCAGTTGGCTCTAAAATTTGATATTACTATAAAGTATCCATACTCATTAAATGTTAAAGACTACAGTATGAAAATTATGCACTGTATCTAGTTATGACTGCTTTAATTTTACATGTCATTATTATCTGGATTTTTGTCTTTTCTTCCTTCACTCATTCAGTGAGGGATCTACCATCTTAAATTTGTTAAAGAAATTTACTCCATGGCCTCCCCCCGTGGCGCAGGTGTTGAGCGCTGGGCTGAGAAGCTGCCCGCAGCCTCTGCAGAGCTGGTTTGATCCCGGGCCCGCCGGCAAGGGTCTCACATGGCACGCAGACCCTACTGCCGTGCCTGCTGCTCCCCTCAGCATTGTGTTTCATCAGTCTGCATATTCTGCTCCCCGCTCTGGCTCTGGTGAATTCTCTCACCCTCCCACATGTCTGACTGTACCCAGTGTTTGTATAAATAAATAAACAAACAAAAAAAAACAAACATACAAATAAATAAATAAGCAAATAAATAAATAAATGAATAAATAAATAAATCTTTAAAAAAATTACTCTGCTCATTGAGCCTCACATTTCATTCTGGAATGAAGGAATTCTTTGACATTATTTTTTTCTCTGACCTACAAGTATCCTCTTCCTCTACAAACTCTTTTTTTGGGAGGAGATTGGGAGGGGAAGTGATGAGGAAGAAAGGGATGTTATAAAGTTTTCCCTGATTACTAGGAAGTAGCAGTTCTATATCTATTTTAATTCAGGTGTGCAAAATCTCACCACCAGAGTTAAGAATATTTCTATAAGTCAACAATGTTAAATCTTGACAATACAACACAGGTTTTACATGTGACCAAATCCCAGAGCATGTTTATTAATGTCTTAACTATTATTTCAACAAGTTTATTTGCCAAATTCTGCAAGTATGTGAGTGTGTGTATTTTAATTTATTTCTAGATGTTCCTCTGTAATAGTCATTTAACATTTCATATATTTTAGATGTTCTAGCCTCCAGCATTTTCAGATGATTTCAGTAAGATGCTCACTGATATGATTTTAATTTATCAACCATCTTTGCAAGTTTAACAAGATCATAGTATTCCTAATCCAAAAGAACACTTTAAATGAAAATCATTTGTGATTATTTTGATAAAGATCCAGACTAGTTCCATAAATGATACCTGTGCTCATTATTGCAATCACTACTTTTAGGGCAAGTCACATTTAAGTGTACTGTCATGATATTGTTTCAGTTTAACAAATGTCCATGAATTTTTGCTCTTACCAGAAATTTTTAAAATACTACTAAAAAACAGATACAGGAATCCCCTATTTGTCAAAAGTTCTCTTTGACCCATTTCACTTTTATGGAAGTAGGACATTAGTACCTGTATTCACTAAATGAAGGAAAGCCAGAGAACATTTTAGGTCTTTTGACATAAGGTGAGAAGTGAATGTGGCGTTTTACATTCATGTTGCAACAGCCCTTACAGAGGCTGCACATACCCTGATCAGTGAGAATGGCCCTGCCAGGTTCCTTTCCTGTGAACTACTTTATATTGACTATGAATTTATAATTATTGTTCCTGCTTTTACTATATGTTAGTATTATTGTTTTAACATATTGACTATATGTTAGTATTATCATGGGGTTTGTATCATTCTTGCTTTTACACATTTTGGTGTCATTTTATGGCTTACATGTTATTTAATATGATTTGTAAATACAGGGGTCTTAGTATACTACATTTTCATATAAATTAATGGTAATTGCTTTTTCCTTTATGCCATTTTTAATTTAGGAAAGATTTTATAGGAAGGCTCTACTTTTGGTTAGTGGAGAAAACCTGTATTATCAAAAGCAAACTAAATGTTGATAAGTAATTCAAATTCAACAAAGTTACAAACTAGGAAGATATAACAGTCCATTTATACTAAGGGTGCCCCTTCTCATTTCTCATAGTTCAAACCAAAAATTATACTTTTAATATTCAATGCAGAGGAAAAAAATGGTTCCACAAAGAACATACATTACTAGCAAACAGTAAATGATTAAGAAAAAAAAATACTGAATGATTTAAAAAAGGGAACAAAATATAAAATGGCAATGGTCCACTATGGAAAGCTGTGTGGAGGTTCCTCAAACTACTAAAAATGGAGCTATCATATTATCCAGTAAATTCAGTCCTAGGAATCTGCCCAATGGTCAAAAAAACATGTATTCAAAAAGATACTGGTATCCCTATCTTTATTACAGTACTACTTATAATAGGTCAGATATGGAAACAACCCAAATGGCCCAAAATAGATGACTGGATAAAGAAGATGTGACACATATGCATAATGGAATATTATTCAGCAATCAAAACTATAAACTAATGCCATTTGCAGCAACATGGATGGAGCTTGAAGGGATAATGCTCAGTGAAATAAGACAGAAGGAAAAAGAAAAAAAAATATCAAATGGTTTCACTTATAGGAGGAATATAGGGGAAACAAATAAGGGATCAGGAAAATAATAATAATAATAATAATAATAATAATAATAATAATAATAGACAAAAACTAGCAGGCAATCATGAATAAGAGACATTCTGCGAGGCGGGGGAGGAAAAGAGATCAAAACAGGGAAAAAAACGAGCACAAGGCACTATGGTGATGGCTCATGGGTGAACTGGTGGTAGGAATTTAATTGGGAATGCACAATAATGTAAAAGATATAAATAAAAAAAATTAAAACAATAAAACACATGAATATTCTGAAATTCATTACACATTATAAAATCCATTTGTCTTGGGTATGAATTTCTGTTATTCAAGCTAGCAAAGCATGACTGAGCATAATGCAGCACAGCAAGGGGAATTTTTGCAACTTGCTGGTTTGTGCCATTGTCTAGATAGCTTTAATAAAAGTAATACGATAAAGATAAGATAAATGTTAAGATACCAAATGTCACTCCATTTTATAGCTCTTAGATGCCTAGGTAAAGCTGTAACTGTGATGTATAGAGAAAATTGCAATGATGCAAAGACTTAATGGAATAATGATATGAAATATATAGAGATAAAAAATTAAAGCCTTAAAAATAGAATAAAATTTAGAAAAATGACATTATCTTGGATTTTCTGGTAGATATATCTTCTGCAAATAAAAAAAGGCTTTGCCTTCTCTTTTCTAATGAAAAAAAGAAAGTTGCAATGATGAAAAGACTTAATGAATTCTGGGACACAGTAGAAGTGAGGCAAAGTCAAAGATGAAATTTTCCCCTTATTTTTAGTCCAACACTACCATTCTACACTCCACTGCCTCCCATGTTTTATATCTGTCACCAGTACTCAGTCAGGTCAATCATGGACCTCTGTAAATGTACAAGTATACTCTACTAATGGCAGAATACAATGATCTGCTTACCTCACCTAAAACTCTTAGAGACTCTGAATTTTAACTATTGAAAATACACGATCATCCTTTCCCTGATATTTTCAATTCTGATCAATTTCACATCATATTGGAAGGTGGACAGTAAATCCTGAATGATGAGGTGAGATGGCTGAGGTTCATTTAAACTGAACGTCTGCTATCTGGATTTCATAAATTGGACAATTGGGAGTACATGTACTCAGCATTCCCAAGGTCCCATATAATAACTTCCTCACCCCATACTCTCTTCTGCACTTTAAATGGAATGCAAATCAGTGATAGTTACTTTTAGAGAACTGATTAAATAGACTCAAGTTTTAAACTTTCTCAGAAGTTTTTAAACTTTCAGTGCATCTAATTATAACAAGATACTTAGATGTGCTTCCTTAGGATGACAGGGCTACAACAGTGCTAGGAATCTTTTGCTTTTTTCTGTTGTTTTTTTTTTTTTTATAGCTTTATAGCATATTGTCATGAACTCACCCCTTAAGCGATGTTTACCATGTTAAGAACAATCAGCCACTACTAGTATTACCACCAAACTCTGTCCACAAGGTAACATCCAATCATACTCTTAAACTTTGCTATTGTTGGAAATAAATGAATTATCATCAGGCTTATCCTACTTTTCTAAGGTTACCCCTCCTTTAGTCTATGTATTCTCTCCTTGTTAAAAATTTTAACAAGCTACCAGGATGTTAGATGGGAAATACATTGGTTCTTTCAAATACAGATGACCCCTTCTTCTCTTGATGGTTTCACTTAAATGTGAGAATATAGAGAAATATAACAAAGGGTCAGTCAAAACTAAATCAATATTAAACTCTTAAATTATGACTGCAAATCTGAGGCAAACAGAGAGGGAAGGTGGTGGGAAAGGTATGGGGGGAAGGAGCCTCGTAGAACACAGTGGACAATTGTTGGGGCACTGGTGGAGGGCAGGGTATGAAAGTGTGTACTTGTAGATGCAGATGCAAAGATATAAACCTACTTGACCTCAATAAACAAAATTTAGGGGGTAGAGGGAAGAAAGGAGCTAACAATATTTTGTTGATATACTCAGAAAATAAAAAAAATGTATGAAGAAAATTTGCAATCATGTCAACAAACACACGTAGATATTAAAATAAGAAAATATTGGGGCAAAGAGAAAATAAAATCACTAACATCTCTATCCAGAACTCTGCCCGTGCTGTTTAGGAAAAGCATTTGTTTAACAGGATCCAGCAACACCCAATAATCCACGTTGTCCTTTAGAGAGAGTTCTATGGTAGGGTCTGGTCCTCCAGCAGTCCCTTTGATCAGCATATTATCCACCAGAATTGTACCTGCAAACCAAAGAAAGTTTTTTGAAAACATTCTATTTGCACATATTTTTTTTTTTTAACAAAGATCATACCCATAAACTCTGACTGATTTACAAATCTGACTTAAAGGAAAACATTCAATTTTATATCTGGCATGATACAGAAAATGTCTTAATTTCAAAAGGGCAAAAATATATTTTAATACTATTTATCAATGATATTTTGGGAAATAAAAGTGGAAGACCAAGATTCAAACACTTGGAGAGCTTCATCATCTATTTCTTGTTTCTCCTTAACAATATGAACTAGTTCCCCTCCCTTTCCATCACTTTTCCCAGGAGTTATCGCTAAATTTTATACTAAATAAAAGGAAATATCAGTAATAACACAGGCTGGTACTTCAATTCACTCAGTAAGACTTCAGATAGGAACAGAGATATCCTGAAAATAAGAGAGAAAAAGAAAAAGCAAGAGATAAAGAAATAGCAGGGTGTCCCATGGTGAGAACTGCATCTTTTTCTTTTATCTTAAAGCAAATCCATAAAACATAAATCTTAATGTGAAAGACAAAACTAGTGGGAAGACTCACAATGGAAGCAATTCTTCTTTAAGACATGTCTAGGTGCTTGACTAGGAAAACAAAATATTCCAATGCAACATTTCGATACTTGCTTTCTTATTATTTTTTTCTGCAGATTGAATTGTAGACATTTGTTGAATAAAGGAGAGTGCATTTCTAATATTTCCTATTCTGTTAAAGATACCATGCATTTTATAAATTGAATGCAAACAGAATTGATGCAATTCAAATCTCATTTTCCCCCCTCAAAGGAATGATCTCTTTGTCAAACAATAATGCACTATAGCTTAGGGCAATCATTTTCAGCTGATCCATTTTATTAAACTCATGACATATAGAAGGGATGTGGCTCTGCAAACAGAAATGCACCCTCCTAAAGACATTAGAATAAATGGCGTATATCTAGGGAACTCACTGCCTTTGGATAGCACACAGAAAATATAGATAATCCATAAATATGACTCTAGCTTGAGGAATAATGATGCAAAATACATTTCCTGCATTTTCTTAAGGCATAGAATTGACCCAAATATTATATGATTGTATAATTACAAGTAAAAGGAATGTCTCTTTGGAATTTTCCCACAAAATTAATAATAATGTTCTGTAATATTTCTTTATCATATTATCATAAATGAGCTATATTTGCGTAGTACATGTTGAAAGGAGTCATACTTATAACAATAAGTTTAAATAATGTTGAAACAGAGGTACTCTTAAACACACTTCTCTAAAAAGATTTTCTTCAATATTTTCACATATAAAATGTGTGTATATTTATATAGAGAACATACATACTATATATGTGCATACATAGGAGTGAAATTATCTTTCCACTTTTTACTAAATTGGCAATAGCCAAGTAGAAGAATACAGATCAGATGATGAGGACATATTTGTGAGCTATGAATATGTTCAAGGTCTTTATGCATTCTTGTTGACAAATACTTCACACAACTAACCTTTAGAGATTTAATTTGTATTTTTCATATATAACTTATAAGGTAAGAATTCTCTTTTCTGATCAAAAGAAAAATGAAATGTATAATAGATAGATAAATTAACATTAACATTCATGCCTTGACCCAATATTACGTAACAGCAGTAACTGTGTTTTTGCAGTACACGTGCTCACTACAGTCACATGAAATAAAGAAGATGAAGAACTATCTTTTTAACACAAGTGACTTATAACCAGAACAAGTTGTAGCAGTTACTTAAACCCAATAAGGTAAAATAAATAGACTATGTCTAGACTTATATTTTACTTGATTTTTTTTTGTATTTTCATAGAGAAGATCTAAATATTTTCCTTGTTCTCACCTCACCCCTGTGTTCTGCAATGACTGAATTTCAGAATTAAGTGTCTGCAACACATGTGTCCTGAACAAAAGCTTTACTTTCACAAGAATACTCCATTCATATTACAAACATTCTCAAGATTTTCATGTGTCAATTTACTATAGATCATAGGTATGGAGAAAGAAAAGAGATCACAACCAAGAGTGAAATAATGAAAGGAGCACTTTTAGAAAAACAATTAATAATTTACTCAGGTTTGCCTAAAGCACCCTGTCCTCCACCCTCCCCAGAGAAAAACTGACAACACCAAAGCTAGCATGGAACCAGAGTCTTCAACCTAGTTTCTCCCAGCAGTGGGGACTGTATCTTTCCAGAGGTCCAGAGATTTCCAGATGTGAGCAGCTGGTGATCAGACTATTATGGCAGGCAGCTGATAAGAAGAGTGTCTGTGAATATTGGGACAATATGGTGTCTCTCTCCTCTCTTTTTGCAAGTGCCACTTTTTCAGTAAAATCTTTCTTAACCTCTTCCATGGGATATTTAAAATTAATTCCCATTTCTGACTCCATTTGAATTATAAAACACATGTGTTTTAAATGTATGTAAAAAAATAAAAGAAGGGCCTTCCTGGTGGCACAGGGGTTAAGTCCCAGTGCTATCACACTCTTGCCACTGCAACATGAGTGTGATCCCTGGCCAGGGAGCTGACATACATGGCAGAGCAGATATCTCCTCTCTCACCTGCTGCTCCCCTCAGCAGTGACCACTGTTCCCCTCAGCAGTATATTTCAGTAGATTCGACTGTTCTGCTCCCCACTCCTGTTTCTAGTGAATCCTCTCACAACCCACACTTGACCTACACCCCAGTTCTTGTATGCATGAATATAAATAAATTTAAAAAATAAAAAATAAATGGATGATACACTGTCCAAGATTAATAAGAAGGTGGATAGTTCTATCAGTATGAGAGAGTATACCATGACAAGAAGGAAGACACATATGATGATAAAGATATCAATTCATCAGTGAGTATTAACCCTAAAAAGATCTGTCCTACAGAATAGGTGATACCCAAGGGGGAATTCCACTCACATGTAAAACTCCATCATCAAAAAAAAAAAAAAAAATAATAGCTGCAAGAGGAAAAAAGACTAAAACTTAATTGATACCAGTACTATAGAAGTTAAGAGAGCTCACCCTACAATTAACAGATCTAGAATCCAATCCTGGACCTACGATTTAGCATCTATGAAAATGGACAGATTACTCAATCCCACTCACCTTCAATTTGCCTCACCTCTAAAATAAGTAACACAATAGAACAAGCACTTCTACTATAATAAGTGTGTACCTGGAAAAAGAAAACAAAGAAAAAAAAAAAAACTTGTGTTTTAGTACCCAGACACTAACACTAAAACAAATAGGTAATAAGGTTACTTGCTTCTAAATAGACATTTTTCATAAGAATTGAAAATTTGATCTAGCATTTAGCTTTTTTCATTAATCTATTGTTTTAACTCAGATAGATGTGTTTGTAGCTCCCCACTGTACTCACAGCTTCTCCTGATATTTACACATTTTTCATCATAGCTACCTGCAGGATTTATTTGCACAGTAGAATTTTTAGTTCTTCTTACATTACTATGTCTTTCTTTTTAATTGAAAAAAAAAAGTTCAGAACATTTCAAAACATCAATATACATGAAAATAGCTTTTGAATAAACACAACTTACTCATCATACCAACTTCATTCCTTTAATTACTAATCTTACGTAGATCTTTCTGATGACTAAATGCGAACACAAGTGAGGTACTGATTGCCATCCCTGGTAAAGAATAAGGACTTGACAAACGTTGAGTTCTGGTTATTGTTGATGTTATTAACTCCATTTTGGAAGATAATACATTTAAAGTTAAAGCAGAATGACTAATTTTATGTCATTTAAGTCACTTAAGTTTTTTTTTTTTTAAAGATTTATTTCTGCATACAAGAACATGTGTATAGGCCAGAGGTGTGGTGGGTGAGAGGATTCACTAGAGAAAGAGTGGGGGACAGAACAGGCAGACTAACTGAAATACCATGCTGAGGGGAGGAGCAGGCAAGCAGGGGAGGTGCGCTGTGCCATGTGGGTCAGCTCCCTGGCTGGCCAGGGATTGAACTTGAGCTACAGAGGGTGCGGATATCTTCACAGAGTTGTGCTCAACCCTTGCACCACCAGAGAAGCCCAAAGTCACTTAATTTTTTACCAACCAAATTTACTCACAAAACTGAAGTTACCACATTTGGTTAGCACATAGGTATAGCTAGCAGTCTAGAAGACATTATATGGACTCAAAATACAAATAGACACAACCCAATACAATCATGCTTGTGGTTAGATGGTAGGGAAGCAATGTTCATTCTAGATAAAAGTTTTAAAAGAACCCCTTGTCACCAAAATCCAGGCCTCCCTAAACTGCATCCCAACTAATAAGCAATCCATCCAGATCTGCAATCACTATGGAGTGATATAATTTTCAATTCCTAATCTTAGTGTGAATTTTGCGTGCACATACACACACACACAATTATATATTTATGTGTCCAAGCACAGAAGAAATTATCCCTAACCCCTCTGGGTTCTTCTCATGTTGGATTAGTAATCAAAAGAGCATCAGATGGGGTGGTAAAGAAAAAAAACAATCAATTTAATAACAGATGTATGGAGGGCCTCTCTCTTGGCACAAGGGGTTAAGCACAGCATTACAAAGCTATCTGAAGCCTCTGCAGCACAAGTTTGATCACCGGCCAGCCAGGGAGATCCCCACATGGTGCAGCAGAACTCTCCTGTCTTGCCCGCTGCTCCCTTCAGCCCCTCAGCAGTGTATTTCAGTCAGTCTGCCTGTTCTGTTCCCCACTTGTCTCTGGTAAATCCTCTTAGCCCCTGCACCTCTGGCCTGTACCCCAGTTCTTGTATGCATAAATCTTTAAAAAATAAGATATGCATGAGGAATTTACATGGCTTTATATTTAAAACATATTGAAGTACACAAGGAATATTTAACCTGCATTTTGTGACTTGAGTATCAAAGACATAGAGGGGAAGACTTCACAAGGCAGACAAGGAGAGATAACTCATCCTTACTCTGAAAGCAAAGA